ATATAGTTGTATCTGCAACTGTATTTGATAATGTTTTGAACTTTTAAAATATTGCATGGTAAAAGCAGAAGCTGCACTTCATATTAGTGACAAACCTTGGCCTTTTTTAACGAGTTACTTTCATTTTTGCTTCTATTTTTCATTTAAAATACATTTTCCACTCTCGGCAGGTTTCTAAGGTTCTTCTTCTACATATTAAAAAAGTTGTGAAACATCTGAGTGGTGCACTACTGCTACTAGTGGTGAGAAAGTGTATTGCACCTTATTCAAAATCAACGCGGTCCCACGGCCCTTTGCGGCCCAAAGTTAAAAACTGTTGTTCTTTTGAGGCCCTCAAGGTGGCGCTCGCCCATGGGTTAAGAATCGCTGGACTAGATCTACACTCTTGTTCTGTTCGTCCAACAGGAACCAGAACCTGACTTRATGGTTCTGACGACTTTGAGCCTGAAGAAAAGGAGCAGTTTCTGAAGCCTGCAGGAAGAAAAGAGCTGAGGCAGGACCCAGCTCCCTCAGAACCAGCATTTCAGTCTGAGTTTAACAAACGAGCTCAGAAACACTGAAACATAAAACTCCATTATTTCCCTTTCCTCCTCTGAGAAGTCTCACACTTAAATCAATTTAAAAACTTTACACTGACAGTTTGGATGCTTTGGGGTGAAAGCAGCTTGATTTATTGACCACAGAACAAAATGTACCGACAGACTTTTACTTTCTGCTGCCATGAAATACTGAATGAGACGAATGCAGAAAACAGAAACTTGTTTTTTACACATTTAATTATAAAACATGTGTCCAGGTCATCCTGGGGTCAGATCAAGCAGGAGGTTCAGAGCAAAACCACAAGTCTGACCAAGCTGAGAATTTGTGGAACATAAAAACAGAATGAAGTCAGTCTGTGATCTAAAAGACGTGTCTCTCACAGATCTGTACCTGGGTGTTTCAGATCTGGATTATGAGCAGCTCTTTCCAGACAGGTGTTCAACATGAGCAACAAGCAGACAGGAGTTCATGTCATAAAACTATGAATAATAAATGATACAGCCCATCTGTTGGTACAAATACCCTCCCTCAGAGTACTACAATTTATAGGACGTGTACTCTTTATTTAGCAATCATTAGGAGTCCTTCCACAAAATAATCTTTACAAASATTGAAAGCTGTGGCTCCTACAGTTTCAAATAAGATGAAAGTACCACCTGTGGCAGGTGAAGAGGACCAGAGTGACCGCTGAGAACACCGCTCCACCTCAGACACACACTCAGCTCAAACACTTCATCATTCTTCATCTGATGTTAGAAACACACACGGTGTGGGAGATGAGGAGTCATGAAGCTAAACGTATGCTAACGTACCACAGAGTAAAACAGACTTTCAGCCACACAAAGACAACACCAGCAGTAAAGTTCTAGCCTAAATCCATATCATCTGCCACCTTTCAGGTCAAAGTAGCAGATGAAGATCATCTTGTCTCAATCAGCAGGGGATCAAGACGTTCGATTCGAACCATAAACCAGCCTTTAGAGTTATAGGGATACRTGGCTCAACAGAGATAGRACCTTTCATTAGTCTAGCTATAGTACTGAACAGAAACCTGGGATTGTTTTTATTCTCTTCTATTAAAGATGAATAATAYACAGTTCTAGCTTTACGAAGGGCTTTCTTATACTGTATGTTAGCAGGCTGTCTCTCCAGGTAAAATAAGATTCTTCTACRTTAGTGGAGCATCATTTTCTCTCTAGTTTTCTAGATGCCTGTTTTAAAGAACGTAACTCTGAATTAAACCAAGGAGTCGGCTTCCTCTGATCGATAACTTTCTTTTTTAGTGGAGCAATTCCATCAAGAGAGGTTTGCATTAAAGTTGTAATATTATCAACAAGACCACCTAAGTTACTGCTCTCTGTTGCATTACTCTGTAAGAAATAGAAGATATTCTTTTAATTTGGCTACAACATCTACTACAATAAAATTTACTCAGTAGCTATAAAGTCCAAGTAGGGGTCTCTGCGGACCAGTGGGCGTGTCACAAGGAAAGGCGATTCTAAAGCGACACACTTGATTTGACGGACTTTGTCAAAGGGACACACCTGACTGGACAAGCAAAAAAGGGGAGATACCGTACGGCACCACCTG